GAACTTTCCATCCACCTAGCCCACCCTGGACTGTCAACTGCTGGCTCTCCTGCCTCTCCAGGCTGCTGACACAGGCCTGCCCTGGGGTCCAGCACGGAAGTCCCAGCCACATGTTGGCGCCAGAGACTTTTGCCCAGAATCTGTCCTCCTGAGAGGTCTTCTCAGCAAGGAGAGGGAGGCTGCTCCTGAGAGCCGTTCCTCTCTGCTAAGACAAACACTCATCTTTCTGATCCCTCTGTTAATGTTTTAGAGGCTGTGCTTCATGCGGTAGCTGGAGTCCATAGGGACTATTTGGGATCCTCTGAAACTGAATGCAGTAAAGCATTCCCAGAGGGCCGTCACCCCCAATCGCAGCCCCACAGAGAAGTGCGTTTGCTGGTGTGTCTGCAGTAGAACCATCCCCTCCTCGGCCATGCTCTCTGTGTGGGGGGCCAGCGGGGCAGGGGTCTGGCTGTGAAGGCTCCCCATGCTGATGGTGGTGTGGTCCTCCTCCCCCATGTCTCACCTGCACGGCCTCGGGGCCCCTCTCCAGGCAGCGCTTATCAAACCAGGAACTCACCATCCCGGTCATTTCCCTGGAGCATTTGCTTAATTCCGTTGCTGAGCTCACGGAGACAAACCGGGAGGAACATGGCTGCATCTGTCCCCACTGCCTTTCCAGGTGCCTGTGGCTGTGACACCAGCTGGGTAGCCTCTTACAGCAGCGAGAGCTCCAGTAAGTGGCCACAGTACGACATCGGATGTCGGTTTAGCTGCTAGAAACTTCCCTTACCCTTCCAGTATTTATGTCACCCCAGATGGACGGACTCCCGACCCACAGAAATTCCATTCTCTTTGATAATCAGCATTGGATTTTATTTCCTTTAGGACAATGTGCCACTTTGTAAGATTTTCTTTTTTCTTTTCTTTTCTTTTTTTTTTTTTTTTGAGGATTTTATCAATTTGCTTGAGAGAGAGAAAGCACAAGGAAGGGGAACAGCAGAGGGAGAGGGAGAAGCAGACTCCCCACTGAGTAAGGAGCCCGATTCAGGACTTGATCCTAGGACCCTGGGACCATGAGCTGTGCCAAAGGCAGACACTTGACAACTGAGTCCGCCAGGCGCCCCAATAAGATTTTCATTTTAGGATCTTTGTTCTCTTATGGAGATTTAATAGGGCCATGCTTGGAGCCTTGCAGAGCGATAAGACCACATGAGCTCCTTTCTGTCTGTTCTCTGTTTGTTTGCAGATTGCTTATGTGGCTTTCGGAACCACAGAAAGAAAATACTAATTGGAAACTGACCCACCCTGCTCACTGAAATAATGTTGGTGGCTGTCTTAGAGACTCTTGCTTTTATTACCTGTTGGAGGACTTCTGTAACTCTGTTGATCAGAATCACACAAATAACTCATTTCAACAATGAAGACATTTTCCAGATCCTTCTGCCTCAAGCAGACATTGTCTTCCATTACTCAACATGGAAACCATGGTGTGGGGATTTCAGCTTGGTGGATAATGGCTCCATTTACAGTCCAACTTTCTCTTTAGAAATGAAAAGGAAATAAGGAAGAAATGCCTATTTGTCAGGATGGAGAAATGTAGACAATCTCTCATACCATTGTCAGCTTGACAAAAGGTATGGCTTATCTACCTAGATTCTGGAGTCTTTCTGAAATGAAGGAAGGAGTTCAAGGATCATGAAAACACACAGGATACTGAATGAGAGAGCCAGTCTTACAGCTGTGACCTCACTGCACACTACCCACACCCGCCCCCCGAAAACAAAACATTGCGTGGTTCTTGTTTGTCGGGTAAAATGCTATCGTGTCAGAGATGAGGCCACTTGTCTCCCCCTCCTGCCAATGTGGCTGTTGCCGCATGCCTCCAATGGTCCCTTTCGTTATTCCAAGAAGAAAGGAAAAAGCGATAGAAATGAAAGTACTTTTTTGCTTTTGGGAGAAGAGAGCAATCCTGTTGTTAGGACATTAGATTCTAACAAGGCACATAATGCACCGGTGATTCATCAAATGGGGGCTCTGCTGTGACATCCAGTGGGCGAGAGGGCTGCTCTGTACCCCTGCGTGCACAAGGGAAGGGCATCCCGATCCCCTGGGAGCTCAGTGGGGTCTTCGCCCGGCAGAGTCAGTTTGGAAAGTGACACTCTGGCCATAGAGGGAAGCTTCATGGACGGAGGTGTGTCATTGCGGGCCAAGCTTCTCTTTACTGTGAGGCTGTGTCTCCGACCCACTGAGATCCTGCTTGTAAACTCAGAAGGCTGTGGAGGGTCTTTGCCAGAACCATTTGTCCCCCAGGAGAAGTTCAGGCACCAGCTGCTGAGATAACTTTGACCCATCCTGCTTGCAATCATTCTGATCAGTGCAGGCAGGGATGAGAATGTTTTCTGGACCAAACTTGACTGGGGCTGAAGTAAGAAAGGCAGCCGTGATGAAGGGACATGGTTTTGGAGTAAGGCAGCCTGCTGTGTGGCATCTCTGCCAGAATGAGCGGCGTGACAGTGACCAATCTCCAGACTCTTTGGGTCTCCCAGTTCCACCTTTTATGAAGAGGCAGTGCTATCTGTCATGTTCCGTGGACACAGGGTACCTGGTGAGAAGGTGGAGGTTGGAAGAAGGGGGTGCGTGGACCGTGACACAGGACCCCGCCCTGTGCCGTGTTGGCACTCTGCTGACCAGGGTTGGGCTGTGCCGTCCTCTGATCTCTGGCCACTGTGTCTCTTGAGCATGTCACCCAACCTCCAGGCTATCTCATGTCACTTTTGTAAAAGAGGGACCGACATAGCAGCCTCGAGGTCCTTCGGGACAGAATAGGGCATTGGTTCTCAGTGCTTCACGACGGAACCCGTGTGCCCCATGCTCGTGACTTCTGTGGACAGGATCACCTCTCAGACCCTGACGAGATGACGCGGAAGTGTCTGGCTCAGTCGGGTGCTCACACAGCAGCGGTCTGCCCCCTGCCCTCCTCGCTCACTCCCCGCACGCTGATGTTTGGCTCTTAAAACGCACGTGCATGTGTGTTCCCGCTGGCACACTGCTTGTCCTTGCTTTAGCACTAGTTACACAGATGATGTTCAGTGTATGTGGACCAAACTCTGTCCCGGACGGCGGCCAAATGAATGTTACAGGCACTTCCGCGGGCAGATAACGCCGTTCATTTCTCTTTCCGTGATCGCCGGCTGGGCGCGTGGCGGGGACACGGTGGTGAGCCGCGTCAGACTGATGACCGCACGTATAGATGAAGGACCTTTGGCTGCTTTGAAAGCTTTTAGACTGGAAAGTGCACGAATCAAAGAAATCCCTGGCAGAACTTAGATCCCGGCTTGAGTGTGCAGGTGACAGGCAGAAAGGAGAAAGGAGAGCCGCCGTGAATTAGATTCCTGCATCATGAACGAATTCACTGACCTGCAGAGATTCTCCCAGTAACTGAAGATGATCTGGTTTTGTAACTCTGTCCAGGGGTCTCGTTGACTCCTCCAGCGACATCCCGACACACGTGCCAGCCTCTCCCAGGAACGTTTTCCTGCGGGTGCTCTCCTTTCCTTAAAGAGCTTCATAATTCAAGTTGTCTAGTGCAAAACCCGAAGTCGCTTAGTGCCAATGAAACTTCACTTTGAACAATTTTTAAAAATTAGTATGTATATGCTCATAGTGAGACGTCATTAGATAGTGATTGGAATCTAGCATGAATTTTTTAAAATGCATAAGCGAAGTATGCCCACGGGGCTGCACCCTGCGTAATGGTGCGTGGGGACCCTCCCACGTGTAGGAAGTGAGGTCGTCCGTGCACGCTGTGCCTCCCACCTTCGTGCTTCATGTGGTGCGTGCTCTGATCCCTGGTCTCGTTGGCTCACCTGCTTTCATCTGTGTTTCCTGAAGAAATGTGAGATGCTTCATGCCAAAGCAAAGGGTTCTTCCATTTGGATCGTAGCCTGTGCAAAAAACAAATTGGACTGGGTATCTGTTTACCGCCTTGCTTAGTGCCAGACATGGCCCCGGGGATATTCCAAGGAAATCATTCCATCGCCTAGCACCCTTATCAGACAGTAGTGACTCCCGATTCCCACATCTGGTACGTGGAGGGAGGGGATGCCTTCCAACCCGGCCGGCCAGCCAGGCCCAGCGCCGGCAGCACATGCTGTCAGACGTAATGACCATCAGACCAGAAACATGCTCCGCGCTCTCCTGTGCCCCCAGGATACAGCTTCACATGCAGATAGAACTCACGGCTCTGCAGACCCATGTGCCTGCAGCTGTCCAGACCTCAGGGCCTACCCACCTGAGACGTGGAAACACACCCTGACGTAGGAGGCCGTGGTGAAGGTGGGGTTGGATGGGCCGGGTTCGTGGGCAGCTCAGCGTGGAAGCCCTGCTATTATGTGCTTGGCACCAAGCTAGGCACCTGGGACAGGCAGTAGAATAACGGTTTTTGGAAGCCCCTTAAATTCTTGCAGGTGGCCCTGAGATTGCTCTGCAATGTGACTGTCACCTCACACATGGTCATTTGTCCACAGCTCCACAATGGGGGGAACCGCACCCCTCAGACCAGCTTCCCCCATTGTCCCTGCACCTGCTAGGTCTGGGTACAGGTGGGAGAACCGCTTTATATGATGCTCATTACTTCTGCACCCCCGTCCCCTCTCCGCTGCCACACGTAATCATGAGCCGCCGTGCTTCTCAGGGTTGGTCCTGGCCCGGGTCCCGCTTCTTGAACTTAGCGCGTTTGCTTTCGGTTTGCATTCAGCTTCCGTCTTTTACTGACAGAGATTAAAGCCAGGATCTGCTGATTTTGTGTTTAAAGATAAATCCGTGTCTGTGTCGGTGGGTTACAGAAAACTGCGTAACTGAGTTCTGACGTCTGAGTATTGCATTTTGAAAGTCCAGACGCTCCCACCGATTTGGAATACTTACTTTCCTTTACCGTATCCCTACGGGACATGGACTCGGAATTTCCCCTCTTAGGTCCGGACAGCTGTGACCGTGTTTTAATTTCTTCTGACTTCCAGGTTTGGTGATGGGTATTCAGTGAAGATTTGGCTCGGTCAGGAAACAAATCGGCACAACGTGATTTCGGACTGCTTGAAGCTCCATTTTCCAGGGATCCAGTTTAAGGTAGCACTAAAATTCTGCATTCCTCCTTTGTTTTCAGCCTGAGAAATCGGATGAGTGCGTTTGTCCTTTTCCCTGTTTTAATTCTGCGTGGTTAGGAGATAGTGCCTGCTGTTTGGGCCTGCTTGCAAAGCACGGGCCACAGGCCCCCGCACACAATAGCATGGCCAGTGGATACCGCTTGGCCGCTGTGAGGGACGCCATGCCTGTCTGACCACTTTGTCGGGTGTCCCCGAGTGGACCGTAGTTACGTACCCCCACAACCCATGAGCACAACCCCCTTGCGTGGCTTGTTTTGTTTAGGAAGGAAGATTGCAGAAGGTAATGCCTTCCAGGTGTTGGCTCTTGGGCTTCCAGACTTGCTGATTTCAGCATTATTTTACGAGTGCCCTGCGCTTGGGTCCCTAATCCTCTACTAGATGCAAAGTGTGATGCCTGGACTAGCAGCCTCTCCTTCCCTGGGGGGCTGTTTCGACCTACAGGATCTTAGGCCCCAACCTTCTGAATCCAAACCTGCCTTTAAGAAGGGGACCAGGCAACACTTACGCATGTTAACATTTTAGAAGCACCGCCTGTCCACAGGATCTCGGATAACTACGCAATTCCAGTGGGTCATACATAGGGTCTCACCTATAAAGTAGCTATCACCTGTGTATTCCAATGAGAGCCACGGAGTAAAACTCCCCGGTAAGAAGCATGCTGTACGAGACCAGGCCTTCATGCTCAGGGCCTCTTCCAGACTTCCAGTAAAACCCCTGCTGTGAATCCCCTTGCACATGTGAAAAGAGGGTCAGAAGATTTCCTCTCTTACCAAGAGCTGCTCCCTAGCTCACAGTGAGGACAGCAGGGAGCTCTGCTCAAAGCCCGAGTGAGGGTCAGGTGCAACCATGCCTCCACCATAAATTCCTCCTTCTTTCTGAGTAAGGCGAGGCACCTTCTTACCCCCCAGGGAGGGCTTCCGCACGCTGTGGCGGGGTGGGGGTGTATGAGGGGTGACAGAGCCACGCAGGCACGAGGAGGACCACGTACCAGCTGTGCCATCATCTCCACGTGTGCACCGGAGACCCTCAGACCCGACCCACCCTCCCGCTGCCATGGAGACGTGTGGTTTGAAGAAATGATAATTTATTCATCACTTAAGCACAGTGTGGTCAATATTACTGATTGCTCATCATGTGATACAATTTACAATTTGTTTTTGGCTTTTAGGGGCAGCGCCTGAATTTGTTGGAATACCATGTTCCAAAACGGTGGGAATGCTTAGCAGACCTGTTCCACGTTCTAGAGAACAACAAGACCTTGCTGCATATCAAACACTACTCCATCAACCCAACCACTTTGGAACAGGTATGGTACTGGGAATGCGTCGGTTGTCTGCATCTCGGTGTGGGCTCGAGGCCTCCCCCAGCCAATTTTAAAATGAGCCAGGTGACTTCTTGAGGTTGTCTTTTCCTTAAATTAATCACTGGCTTTACTGAATAAGACAGTGAGAGTGAGGAGGTCTGTTTCCTGTCTGCTGTCCACTCAAGGTACGTAGTTGGTAGGGTTCCCATTTGTCCACACTTACACTGGGCATTCACTGGGCAAGCCATGCCCCATTAACCTTCCCTTCTTCGTTTGGCTCACCCCCCCACCCCAAAATGTCTAAGGGGACTGCACCATAGCTGAGCCATTGCTGACTTTGGGAAACAAAGTGAACTGAGTGCCAGAAGGTAGAATTAAATGCCACCTTCATACTTAAGCCATATGCTCAAGGCATCCTGATTTCCAGGTGGCTTAGTGACCATGCCTACATCTAGCTGTGTCCTCAAAGGATTTTCCTGTTTGTGGAGGTTTCCACGTGGGTGGTATGAATGAAAACTTTGTGGGGTTTTTTTTGTTTTTTTTTTTTTTTTGGAAAAGTTGGGTAGCACTTGGAGGAAATGTCCCTTTGTACAACAGTTGAGAAGAGAAGGTCTGGTGTCCTCACAGGTTCACAATGATTTTCATCATTTCTTTCAGGTATTTATTAATTTTGCTACTGAGCTACCGAAATCTTCACCATCTAGCATGGCTGCCCCCACTGGCTCTTACCAGCCCCCTCACCTGCCTGTCTAAGGACCTAAGGGGACGTTTCTAAGAGGAATAATACCTTGTCTTTTATTCCAATTTATCACCTGGGAGGAGCTGGGATTCAGGCTGCATGTGGTCGGAACCCTTCTCTCTTCCTTTCCTCTTTGAAGCTGTTGGTTAACTCATAACCCGCAAACTGGAAGATTGTTTCTGTAGACTTTGGGGAAGTTCCTCCCACGTGGCCAATCCCTCTGACAACTGGGGTTGGGGGGGACAGATCCTTCGTGACACGGGTGCAAGTGAACCCAGAGTCCAACCTGAGACACTTGGAGCTCTCAAAGGCTGGCCATTCCCGAACATTCTGCTGTACTTTTAAGGAAACTGAGGTGGCCAAGGCTAGTAACTTTCCTAACTGGTTTATTTAGGAAATAGTACCACACACTGTTTTCTGTTTCTGTCCTCTTTCATCACTAGATAAGAGATCAAGAGTTTAAACACACTTTTTTGTAATACTCTATTTTCACACTCCACTTTGGAACCACCCAGGAGCCGGCGGCCCCTCCCCTCTCCCAAGGGCTGGGCAGTGAGGCACAGTGGACTCAGCCGGGCTGGGGGAGCCAGACACGGCATGGCCTGGGGGGGCCAGGGCCCTTCCCTGTTTCTCAGAGGGCCCCCATCTTCACCCCAGCTGTCTGTCCCTGTCCCGGGCTGGGGAGGGGGGAGGGAAACTTTGTCGGGAATAAACTTCACTCTGTGGGCAGACATATAAAAATTGCCACTTCTTTCACACAAAAGATATTTCTTTAAAAAATTGGAATTTGGAGCTTTTTAGCAAATGCTTTAGCAAAATTAAGTCAGTTGAACCAGGTACTCTATGTTGTGTATAAAAGTTATGTCATATTTTCATAGATTTTAAATATAGGCGGGGATGAAAAGAAAAAGAATGTGGATGTATTTTATTTTTTCTTCAGTTCTCAGTTTCCTTAATGCCTCCTGGTATTCTGAGGCATATTCTAGTTTCAAAACCAATGATGTATGACGACTAACATCATAATTTAAAAAAAAAGAGAACAGGGATATAAACTATCCTGTTACTTCAAATTGTACCCGCAAAATTAGTACCATATGTAGTAAATAAACATTAACTTTTAAATGCTTTAAAATTTTCTAACAATTCTGCCATTCTCAGAATGACTTTTCTAGCATTTTTAGAGATAAAGTGCCGTGCTGTGGTACTTGACATTGGCCGTAGACCCTTCACATTCTGCACCTGAGAGCGAAATGTGTCAAGTCCTTTTGGCCACCACTGAAAACAGTTTCTAGCCGGACATTTCTGAGCCACGAGATACTTCTCAACCTTCTCTGAATAACGTTTTTCTCAAATCGCCATGGAGGGCTGCGTTAATTTCATTTTAAAATTTGACCTTATCCGGTTAAATTTTTGAGTGATAGTAGCTTGTGGCCAAAGGGAGCCGCTTTGCCAGCACATTACTTTACTAATGCAGGATTTCACCGAAATCTGTCTTTCCTGATATCATTCAATACTGGGGATCTTTTTAACTTGTCAGGATTCAGCCAATCACAGAGACTTTTGCTGAATGATTTTGATCCACATGAATCCCATGAATTATGCTTTCTTAAGGTTTAGGGTTTAGGATTTCTTACAGTTTAGGGTTTAGGACCCCCCACCCCAGTTCTAACAGTCTCACTGTCAAAATGGGAGATGTACTCCTTCATGATGATCGTCGTCGAATCCATCCATAAAAATCTGTGACCCAGGAACGTGTTTTCACTGCGGTGAATAAATGAGAGGTGCTTTGATTGAACCTGATTCTTGGAATAAACTTGTGTATTTTCTGGCATCGTTAGGGATCCCGTTTAACCGAGCTAGGGAGGCAATATACCTACTCAAGATCTTTTAAAGCTTGAAAAGGTTATAATTTGATTGAGCTCCCGACTGTGATGTTCTGCTCGTAGGGATTCTTTCCCGCCCTTGAGCCACTGTAGTCTGCGAGGTTGTGCTTTCAGGTAAGCCTTTGAAGAATAAACAGGAAGAAAAAAGAAACTCAGTATGTGAAAGCACCATACCCCAGAAGACTGGACAGGAAAGGTCAAATCTTATGTTAGTGTTGAAAATGTCATTGCATTTTTAAGTCATGCAGATGTTTTATGCCTGTGGAGTTAAACATTTGTCTTAAGACCTTTGGGCTTATGGCCACACAATGGAGACTTTTAAACAAACGGCCTTCTTCTGAAAACACTCGGAGTCGAGTCCTTCATAAGGCCAAGATCATCATGATTATTCCTGTCTCAGGAACCCAGCTTTATTACAGGTTTATCTTTACCCGGATATTTAAACAGAGGATGTATGAGAGCCCACACGCAAAAGCAGGACTGGAGAAAGCAAACAAGAAGTGTATTTTTAGAACAGTAAACAGTGGAGGACTTAAGGTTATAGTTGGCTTGGTTCAGTGAATGTTGAATGTTGAACCGAGAAATAGCCCAACACGACCTCTCCACACCCTTTCACGGAATATACCCCCTCCACACCCTCCATCACTGTTTGGTGTTCGTGAGTGTGACGTGAATGCTTGAGCTTAATCACAAATTTCCAACCCCCCCCAAAATGTGGGATATAGACATTTAAACTGTTCAGACTGGTTTGGACATGTTATCGTCTTTGACTTTGCTGTGGTGTGTTGGAGTAGTTCAGGTGTGTGATGATTTTGGTGTGGTACGCTGGTGGCCTTACCACCCAGTTTCACATCCTCAAGTAATGCCCTCACATGCGCACACACACACACACACACACACACACATCTTCATCCTTTTCATCCGTACTGTTGAGCCCGTTCTGTGTACCTAAGTAGGCAGTTGGTACGGTAAGCATGAGGGTGGGAAGGACCCCCAGTCTGTGTCCTTGAGAAGCAAGCAGATAGGTGGGGAAGGCAAGGTGGGACCTGCAGGCAAGAAGCCCTGCCTGCTCAGGGGCCATGCAGTGGTTCCTCCTAACTCAGGGTGCAGGAACCAGCTTCATAGAATAGTTACCTCCTGGGTGGACTGTCACAGAGGGGGAACCGTGAACAAAAGGTATATCAGAGCAAATCAACAGTTCTTGATGGGCAATGGACATTTGCCTGCTATTCTGGTAGAAGCTCATACAGTGGCTCCACAGACATAAAAAAACCCAGCTCTGCCATCTTTAGAATTCCCCTTACATGCCAAAGTGGCTGCTGGAGCACCAGCTCTCACAATATTCAAAGCAGAAAACAAACTGAATTAAGGGGGGAAGAAAGCACACCATTTAAAGGTCTCCTGGGGGCGTCTGGGTGGTTCAGGAGGTTAAGCCTCTGCCTTTGGCTCAGGTCATGATCTTAGGGTCCTGGGATTGAGCCCCACATCGGGTTCTCTGCTCAGCAGGGATCCTGCTTCTCCCTCTTTCTCTGCCTGCCTTTCTGCCTACTTGTGATCTCTGTCAAATAAATAAATAAATAAATAAATAAATAAATAAATAAATGTGGAGGTCTACTCCACATACTCAGGTGTATAGGACATTGTCATACAGTTTTAGTTGAGTCCCTAATGTGAAAAGAGAGTTCTGATTCTATGTAAGAACAAAATGGGTGCCGGATAGACAGCCAGCAATCTCTACTGTAGGAACACAGAGTAAGGGGTGTGCCATTTGCATGAGAATGGAATGAAATCAATTTGGGGGCATGTTGAGTAAACCAACGAATGGCAAATGAGGACTATCTTTGGTCAGTCCCTGTTCTGAAGATTTCTGTTTTCAGAGTTAAAGTAGCATGTTAAGATCTAGGGGTCAGATGCCATCTGTATTTATAAAGATATTGTCAAATAGAATGTAGTAGCTAAGGGGGAGAAAGAAGCTTGTGGGTATTTCCCATTTGGACTTAATAAATAGCCCTGTCACTTACTCACAGTGGGAATTCCTTATAAGAGTTTTAATAGATAAATTTTCCCCCTGCTGGAAAGGGTTGCAAATTGCCAAAAGAATTCAGAAGCATTTTTTCTTACTTACTTGCTTTTCCTTGTCATTGCAAAAGAAACGTTTCACCACCTTATCAGTGAATCCATCACATCTGCCCTTACATGTGAGTGTTTTAAGGAAAAATGGGGTCCACTGAGTGAAATTTATATCTGAAACTGAGCAGAATTCATCGCTTAAAATATACATCTAGGAAAGTCGGGAGCATATCTTCCTTTTAAACAGAAGGAAATGTTGTGAACATTGTGTTGGGCATGGCATTTACATCTCAGTCTTGTGGTTTCTCTTGTGAATTTCACCTATTACCAAATTGTGGTGGTATGTTACCTGGTTTGTGGTTTTGTCCTTGAGAAACTGGGAACAAGACTTCAGATCACCCTTTATGAGACGCCCTAGTGGCGATGGGTCCTTGGGTACCATGCTGTCCCTCGCTTGCACACGGGGCATGTTCTGCCCGAATGTAGTCACGAGAAGACTTCTTTTGCCCCAGCATGAATTCAATTGAGCTAGGATCTCAGACGAGGGCAAGACAGCCATCCGGGAAGTCCACTGGCTGGGTATCAGGAGATCTGGCTTGATTTCCAGCTCGAGTGGCATCTTTTACACTGAGACCTTGAGTTTCTGTTTTCTTCACTTTTATGATTAGGATGAGATCTCTAAACAGCCTAGTGAAATCAGCAAACCTCCACAGGAAGCACATGAAAATATGCCATTAGCAAAGAGAATGGAGCAGATCCACCGATAGAAATGGGATATAAGAGGATAATATGGCAAACTTTATGCAGATTATTTCAAGACAGATGAAATAGATGAGATTTTTTGAAAACCATTAATGATCAAGGTATTTCAAGAAAACACTAGCCACACGAGAACATGAATTGGTAGCCATGGGTAATCACCCTGCCTTTAATTTACCCTAAGACAGGAGACCCAGATGGCTTTATGAGTCATACCAAAGGAGATAAACTCTATGTTATACAACTATTTTAGGAAATAAGGAAAGAATTGCTATCAATCTCACTTTCTGAAACCAGTATAAACTTGGCACAAAAAGTTCTCCAAGAATAAAGGTAAAGCAAGTATAGAGCAACTTCAAACACTGATAAAGAAATATTGGTAAGTGGACCTCAGCAGTGGGTAGAATACGGCTTATAATCAGTATGATTTATC